CTAAAAGAAGCCACGCCTCCCTCGGTTGATATATTGGTATTTAACAACTACCTTTTTATATTCAACCCGTTGTTTTTGTTCAGAAATAAAATGTATAACCCATGCAAAATTACAGGTGGTACCTGAAAGTCTATAGAAGACATGGTTAACCAAGTCACACGCTTTGCAGAAGTCAGTGAATACCAATGTATTGATATTGCCGGACTTCTCTGCAGCAGAGACGTAGTGGGGGACCCTTTTCGTTACAAATTGCCTTCCATCAACACCAAGGATAGCCCACGAAAGTCTAGAAGAAGACTTATTTCCAGTGGGGTCCTTCTGGTTTTGATTGGGCAGTACACCGGGAGACAATCCCCTACTCTTATCCGAAGAGTGTACTGCGTTCTCTAACGTGCACATGGGCCATAAACGCACATGGGACCAACCCAGCTAGCAAAGCGACGTTGGCCCAACGTTGGCAAGCGTCGGTAAGCGTCGGGGTCGGATATCTGACGTTGGTACGACGTTGGTGTTTGGTTGCAAAATTTGGTCGGAGAGGTAACGTCAAACCAACATTGGAATTTCACGTTGGCGCAACGTATGAATATATTTGTCGATTTCTCGTTGTCGTCCCAACGTTGGTAAGCCGTCGTAAATATTCAGTCTGACTATGGACTTTGGTAGAACGTTACGATTTGTTACTGGCCCGACGTCGGCAAACTACTAAAAAGATGGTTGGGTACTACCGTTGGCCCAACGTTGGCTAGAGGTTGTAAATATTAGATGTGATTGTAGACGTTGTCTCAACGTCACAGTACGTTGTTGGCCCGACGTCGGTAAACGTTTGAAATGGTGGTTGGTTAAAAAAGTTGGCCCGACGTTGGTTAGAGGTTGTAAATATTAGGATGTGATAACAGACGTTGTCGCAACGTCAGAGTAATTTGTTGGCCCGACGTCGGTAAACGTTAGTGAAGGTTGGTTACAACCGTTGGGCCGACGCTGGTTAGAGGTTGTAAATATTAGATGTAATAAAAGACTTTGTCGCAACGTCATAGTACTTTGTTGGCTCGACGTCGGTAAATGTTTGAAATAGACGTTGGTTACCACCGTTGGGCCGACGTTGGTCAGAGGTTTTAAATATTAAATGTGATTACAAACCTTGTCTCAACGTCACAGAACGTTGTTGGCCCGACGTCGGTAAACGTTTGGAATGGAGGTTGGTTACAACCGTTGGTCCGACGTTGGTTAGAGGTTGTAAATATTAGGATGTGATTATAGACGTTGTCCCAACGTCAGTACTTTGTTGGCCTGACGTCGGTAAACGTTAGTGGAGGTTGGTGACAACAGTTTGGCCGACGTTGGTTAGAAGTTGTAAATTTCAAACGTTTACCGACGTCGGGCCAAAAGAGTACTGTGATGTTGCGACAACGTCTATAACCATACATAATATTTACAACCTCTAAGAAACGTCGGCCCAAAGGTGGTACCCAACATCTATTTCAAACGTTTACCGATGTATGTCGGGCCAATAAGGTACTTTGACGTTGCGACAACGTCTATAATTATATATATTATGGAGGT